ATTGGTTTATTTAAGTGTGTAGTTAAGTTGCTAAAAGATTGCAAGTAAACTTGGATTGCACTAAAAATAGACCAAAAGGATTCAAAATGTGCAGAGAGATGACTTTTAAAAGCTGTAGCTGGCTCTGGTGAAATGGAAGTGCGATAGCCGGCTCTGGAAGCTGCAGCCGGCTCTACAGGCAAAAAATTGAAGACCGTTGTTTGGCGCGCGCGGAGAAAAGACGCAAAGCCAGCTCCAACTTTATAGCCGGCTGTGAGGGTGCATTTAATGCACAATGGTCGACTCTTTTGAATGTATTTAAAATCGGAATTCCAAAGCCGGCTTAAAGTCTTGCAGTCGGCTCTCGAGGAAAACAGAATGGCCTGCAAACCTGGATAGCCGGCTCTGGAAGTGTAAGCCGGCTCTAGAAAGCTAAGCCGACTCTCCTGACAAACCTACAGCTCGAGCTTTGCATCCTGCAGAGCATTTAATGACCCCCAACGGCTAGAAACGGCTATTTTCAAGTAAGGGGCTATAAATATGGATCTGAAGAAGTTTGGATTACATAACATTGCATATCTTTACCTACCTACTTGAGCTTAAACTTGAGTTTTTGATCTTTGAGTGATCATTGCTTGTAATCTTCTTCTTGTGCTAATAGTGAGTGATCTTGGGGATGTGTTGATTCCTTCAAGAGTGATCTGTAGAGAGGATCTTTGGGGTTTATCTTGTAAAGGGGTGAGATTTGAAAGAAACACCCTTATTCTTGTAAAAGGATTGAGTGGCTCCTTTAAGCCACCCTTGTTGTTGTTAGTGAAGAGTGTGAAGGAAATCCTTGGTGAATGAAGCCAAGGTAGAGGACTAGGCTCCAAGTGGTTGGACCGAACCTCTATAAATCATTGAGCAAGCTGTCCTTCTCTACTCTCTTTAATTTTGGTTTTGTAGTTGCAAAAAGAGGAGAATTTTTGGAACTCCAATTCACCCCCCCTCTTGGAGTACATTGGGTCAACGGACTTAAAGTGTTGTTAGTTGATGCACCAAATACGCACTACTTTTAGGCAAGTGAACCTAATCAATTATGCAGTATAAGATGAGTAAGATATCGTTCCCTCGAGGACTATCCTACACTACCAAGACCCTATTAATCTAACCTAAGTTGAATTAACCAATTAATGAGGAAAACTAAACTATTTAAAAGAAAACTAAGTCAACTAAAGAAAATTAAACTAAAGAATTTTCTAAGTTAAAGAAAACTATGAATGAAAAGGAACTAGGGTTTGGATTTCATTTAATTCTGAATTATGCAACTATTTCATTAATTTAATTCAAGTTCAAATAATAATGTTATTGCATGAGATGGCGGATTTCCCTAAATTAATTAACCAGCTTTCTCAAGTCAAGTTAATCCTTCATTTGTTTGCTAAATTAATCATATCTCTATGTAATTTTAAACAAATTAATGAGCATTAAATTCTATGGAAACCTCTAGCTTAAGAAGGGGGAGCTACTAACTCTCTTCTCTTCCTCCACTACCACATGTGAGCTAATTACCTCTCGGTCTCATAGTCTAACACACGGTTTATATTATTATTGGTCTAATTTACACAATTCTTTCTCAAGTTCATGCGTAAATCACTAAATCAATTGAAAGGTGATCAAGCTCTCAATGCATTAAGTTCAATAATATAAACTCATCATGCAAATAACCAATAAATCTTGAATTAAACTAACAAAAACAGTCACATATTCCAAAAAATTAAAATCCATCCATCCCTAGTTCAAAGAATTCTAGCCACACATGTTTATGATTTCAACAGCCATGAAAAATAAATCCCAGCAGAAAATCATAGTAAAAGGAAATCAGAAACAACAAAACCCAAACAATGGAGAATTGCTTGTCCGGAAGCAAGGCTGGGAGTTGAAGAAGCAGATTTCAGGATCCTCCTCTGTGCAGATTGGATTCGCGTCCCTCCGAGTAGGCTGGGCAGCGGCTTTTCCTCCAATGTGCAGAGCAATCTCGCGCGGCTGTCCTCTTCTTCTCTGGTGAACAACAGATGTGGGTGGCTGGGATGTGGGCGGCTGGGTGCTGTTGCGCAGAACAACTCTCTTGCGTCTGTGTCTCCTCTGTTTCTGCCGAGTAGCATTTATATATATC